GGACAAGAGGTGATGGGTTCAAACTGAAACAGGGATCATTCAGATTAGACATTAGGCAGAAGAGGGTGCTGAGGCGCTGGCACAGGGTGCCCAGAGAAGCTGTGGCTGCCCCATCCCTGGCAGTGTTCAAGGCCAGGTTGGACACAGGGTCTTGGAGCAAGCTGCTCCAGTGGAAGGGGTCCCTGCCCATGGCAGGGGTTGGAGCTGGATGAGCCTTAAGGTCCCTTCAACCCAAACTGGTATGGAATGCTATGATTTTATGTAGGGGTGACACACAATGTAGGCTTGGAGGAGCCCAAACACACCAGGCGTTATACATTCACCTCTGCAGCATCCTCACCCTCCCACAACACATGGCTGAGCCAGGCAGGCAGGTTCAGGGCGAGCACCAGAGCGTTGATGGGGTTATAGGTAGGCCTGTGCTGCCTCCTGGTGTAGAGCTGAACCCCAGCTGCCGGTGTCGAGGGCAGGATTGGGCCTGCTGCAGGATGGGTGCATGGCCCAGGGCCCCCCTGGTGTCTGCAGCCCATGTGCTGACCCAAATGATGGGACACATCCTGGCACTGCAGGCAATCCCTCTCATCAAGCAGCTTGGGCTGGTCACTCCAAGGCTCCATTTTGGCTTTGAAAGTTGCCACCACCCTTTGGGACACCCCACTGCATACCACGGGCAGACTACCAGAGACCAGCAGTGCAGGGCTGCAAATGGGACCTTTGCAATGGGGCATGGCTGTGAGGCTGGCAGGTGTCATTGCCCACACTGGGCTGTGCCCATGTGCTGTATGGCATGCTGGGGATGGCACACTGAGCACAAGATGCCAGCCTCGCCCTGGGAACATGAGCTGAATTTTGTACCATGCTGAGGCACTGGAAATGAGGATGTGCTCCTGAAGGGCTCAGACCATGAGCTCCTACAGCTGCCATGAGTCCCCCCCCATCCCTGCTCTGTGCTCCCTACATCACCCCTCAGAGATGAACCATTAATCCCCTCCATGTCACCCTCATGCCTGCAGCCCCCAGCACCTCCTCACTCACCGGGTGCCCAGCTGAGCCCTTGGGCCTGGTGGCACCAACCCCATAGGGTTCCCCTTGCCAGTGCTCATCCCAGTAATGCCTTCCTCTCCCTGGGCCACCCCATCATATCCTTTCCTCTGCTTTTTAGTCAGGAGGCAGCCAGGAATTAAGGCAAATGCCTTGGAGAAGACTTCACACAGCAGAGGGGCTCACGGAGGGACCCTTGTGGTGTCCCAGCTGAAATCATTCCACCCATCTGGCTTTATTTTATGCAGCCTGAATTTGGGATTTGGCTTCCAATTACTGCACGGGCCCAACTCATCCCGTGCCCTGCTCGCACACCGACCACCTACGAGCTCTCCTTCCTGCCACACAAGTTTTCAGTCCCACCAGGATTTGGTGAGAAGCCACCCCCTGCGATGAGGGCTCTCACTGAGCGGCTCCTCCGCTGATGGCAGGACCCTTCCCTCCAGGAAACCCGGCTCTGCAGCGTTGCTGCTGGGCTGGGAAGAGCATCAACACCCTCATGTGCCTGCGCCGCGGCACTGCAGCTCCCCGCAGCCGAGGGGGAATATCCAACACACAACGATGTTTCCATGAGGTTTTTGTGTCCTGGTGTCTGGGAGACCCCTGGGGCTGGGGAAGCTCCACACCGATCCTGGTGCACACGTGCCTGCTTGAGGGGAAGGATGCCCTGTGATGGGACATGCCCGTGGCTTTCTGGTTGGTTATTTTTCTAAAAACATAAAGCCTTTTTTGCTGTGTGAAGCAGCAATGAGTTGAAGCATTCATGAGATTGCTGTAGTTTATAGAATCCTGGAATGGTTTGGGTTGGAAGGGACCCCAAAGCTCCTCCAGCTCCAACCCCTGCCACGGGCAGGGACCCCTTCCACCAGAGCAGCTTGCTCCAAGCCCCTGTGTCCAACCTGGCCTTGAGCACTGCCAGGGATGGGGCAGCCACAGCTTCTCTGGGCACCCTGTGCCAGCGCCTCAGCACCCTCACAGGGAAGAGCTTCTGCCTAAGAGCTCAGCTCAGTCTCCCCTCGGGCAGGTTCAAGCCATTCCCCTTGGCCTGTCCCTACAGGCCCTTGTCCCAAGCCCCTCTCCAGGTTTCCTGCAGCCCCTTTAGGCACTGGAGCTGCTCTAAGGTCTCCCCTTCAGGAGCCTTCTCTTCTCCAGGCTGCCCCAGCCCAGCTCTCTCAGCCTGGCTCCAGAGCAGAGCTGCTCCAGCCCTCACAGCATCTCCATGGCCTCCTCTGGCCTCGCTCCAACAGCTCCAGGTCCCTCTTGTGCTGCTGCCCCAGAGCTGGATCAGGGCTGCAGGGGGGGTCTCCCCAGAGCACAGCAGAGGGGCAGGATCCCCTCCCTGAGCTGCTGCTCACGCTCTGGGGGTGCAGCCCAGCACAGGGGGGGGTTGTGGGCTCAAGCACACACTGAGGATGGGTTATGGGGAGCTTCTCCCCACCCAGTACCCCCAAGTCCTTCTCCTCCAGTGGAGCTCTTCTCCTCCACACTGGAGGGCTGCTCCAGTCCCTGCCCAGACTACGTTTGTGCTTGGGATTGCCCTGATCTATGTGCATCACCTTCCCCTTGTTCATCCTCCCAGCATCCTCCCAGCCGCAATACCAGCCCTGCCCATTCACAGCCTGTCCCTGCTCGCACAGGGATGTCCCTGTGTCACTCTCTAGCAGTGATTCCTCTTGCTCCCAGCACCTCAGGACTTGCTCCTTCGGTTTGTTTTCTCAGGTATCCAGGCACAGCCCTGTGCAGCTTTGCTCACAGTGAGACTGCATATCTGGCCCTTTGGGGCACCCCCAGACCCCACAATGGCACCCTGTGTCCTCAGAACCTTTCCTCTCCCAAAGGGGCTGTGAAGGAAGCTCACCCATTGGCATTGCTGAGCTTTCTGGGGTAGGGATATCCACGGGCTGCTGCCTGGGTCTGTGGACGCAGTACAACCTCCCCTAGCAGGGTGTCTGCTTTAATCTGAAGTGTCTCCATCCCAGCTGATGTCCCCCTCAGCATCTCACTGCAGCAGCTCCCATCTCCAGGCACCGTTTGGATAATGCCATTCCTTGCCAGCTCCGGTGCCAGCACTGCAGGGATGGTTGCAGTCTTGTCTTGGGAAGGCCTTTCCAGCCTCCTCTGCTGCTCTCCTTGGCCAGATCTGGGCATCTTCTCCTTTCCAGCCTCAGTTTCCTGATGGCCAACTTGTCCTTGGGCCAACAGTGTCCCTAACAGCTTCATTCGCCCTGGCCATGGGCACAGCAGTGACATCCCTGGAACCTGTGCCTCAGCAAGGGCCTCAGGGTGGGGACTGGATTAACCCAGGTCCCCTGGCAAGGAACAGGAACAGGAGCAACTACATTCTCTGTAGGGACTTACAATGTCCCTACCAGGCCTGGGTGGACACCTGCCTGTTGCCTAAAGACAAGGTGTCATAGAATCACAGAAAACCCTTTGTATTGGAAGACACCTTAAAGCTCCTCCAGCTCCAACCCCTGCCACGGGCAGGGACACCTTCCACTGGAGCAGCTTGCTCCAAGCCCCTGTGTCCAACCTGGCCTTGAACACTGCCAGGGATGTCCCCAAAGGCTGATGATGTGTGCTGAAGGTCACAGCAACATCCCCTTCCCTCCTCAGAGCTCAGCAGCCCCGTGTCAGCCTCAGCGAGCTTCAACCCTTTTCTCCCACATCGCGGATAAACTCCTGGGTACCAAGTCTGGGAGGGCCCTGCCCTGGCAGCTGAAGGTGGGGACAGGGACACTGACTTCCTGGCAGTGGGATTGTGCCAGGATCTTGGGCACGGTGCTCAGTACTGATTGTCTTGCCTCGTGTCCAGTGCCTTTGACCAGTGTCCACGTCCCATTGCCCAGTGCTCCCTGCTCCTGTACAGTGCCCCGTGCCGGTGATCAGTTCCTTGTGCTCCCTCCTGGTGTCAGTGTCCAGTGCAGACAAGAGTCGGGCGGTGTGTGCCGGGGTCGGTGTGCGCCGGGGTCGGTGTGTGCCGGGTCTGGAGGTCTGTGCCGGGGTCGGTGTGTGCCAGGGTCGGTGTGTGCCGGGATCGATAGGTGTGTGCCGGGATCGATAGGTGTGTGCCGGGGTCGGTGTGTGCCGGGATCGATAGGTGTGTGCCGGGATCGATAGGTGTGTGCCGGGATCGATAGGTGTGTGCCGGGTCGGTGTGTGCCGGGATCGATAGGTGTGTGCCGGGATCGATAGGTGTGTGCCGGGATCGATAGGTGTGTGCCGGGTCGGTGTGTGCCGGGTCGATAGGTGTGTGCCGGGTCGGTGTGTGCCGGGTCTGGAGGTGCGTGCCGGGATCGATAGGTGTGTGCCGGGATCGATAGGTGTGTGCCGGGTCGGTGTGTGCCGGGATCGATAGGTGTGTGCCGGGTGTGTGCCGGGTCGGTGTGTGCCGGGATCGATAGGTGTGTGCCGGGGTCGGTGTGTGCCGGGTCTGGAGGTGCGTGCCGGGATCGATAGGTGTGTGCCGGGTCGGTGTGTGCCGGGATCGATAGGTGTGTGCCGGAGTCGGTGTGTGCCGGGATCGATAGGTGTGTGCCGGGTCGGTGTGTGCCGGGATCGATAGGTGTGTGCCGGGATCGATAGGTGTGTGCCGGGTCGGTGTGTGCCGGGATCGATAGGTGTGTGCCGGGTCGGTGTGTGCCGGGATCGATAGGTGTATGCCGGGGTCGTGTGCCGGGATCGATAGGTGTATGCGGGTGGGTGTGCCGGGTGATAGGTGTGTGCCGGGTCGGTGTGTGGATGATGGTGTATGCCGGGGTCGGTGTGTGCCGGGATCGATAGGTGTATGCCGGGGTCGGTGTGTGCCGGGATCGATAGGTGTATGCCGGGGTCGGTGTGTGCCGGGGTCGGTGTGTGCCGGGATCGATAGGTGTATGCCGGGGTCGGTGTGTGCCGGGATCGATAGGTGTATGCCGGGGTCGGTGTGTGCCGGGATCGATAGGTGTATGCCGGGGTCGGTGTGTGCCGGGTCGGGCGGTGGGTCCCGGGAATGGAGGCGGGTGCCGGGTCGGGAGGCGGGTGCTGGCTGCCGGGGCCGTGCCGGGCGGTTTGTGCCGGGCGGGGCGGTGCCGGCCGGGGCGGTCCGTGCAAGAGGAAGCGCTGCCGGCGGCAGAAGCGGCCCCGGAGCGGCCGGAGCCGCGCGGTCGGTGAGTGCCCAGAGCGGTGCCTGCCCCGCTCCTCCGGGCCGGCCCCTGCCCCAGCCCGGTTCCCCTTCGCTCCCGCCCCTGCCCCGGTCCCTGTCCTGGCGCTTGCCCCTCTCCATACCGCGGTCAAGTCCCCTCCTTCCCCCATCTCTGCCTCTCTTCCCCCTGCGCTCCCGTTCTCTCCCCACTCCTCTCCCCGGTGCCTGCCCTCACCTCTGAGCCTGTCCCTCCAGAGGCTCCCACCCCGCTGTCCTGTCTGCATCCGGTCTTCAACCCAGCCTCCCCTCTGTCCCCCAGCAACCTGCCCACCCCATGTCTCCCTGCCCTTGTGTCACCCTTCCCTCGCCTCCCCTCCTGACTCTGCCATCAGGGCTGCAAGCATCAGGGTTGCACGTGGAGTCCCCTGGGCTAGCAGCGAGCGGGGACCACAGCTCTGCACCCTGCTCCCAAACTGGTGGGGTCTGCTGAAGGTCCCTTCCCCTCGACTGAGAACAATCCCAGCTCTGACACCCCCCTGCACACTGGGTTATTGGGGGTCTCTGTCTCACAAGGAGTTGGGCAACGTCAGCCAGGCCCCATGTGCTGACAGCAAGCAGGGACATGGATCGTGGGGTCAGCCTGGAGAACCCCTATGCCAGCGTCAACATCCCCCGGGAACAGTTCCAGCAAAGCTTCATCACTCGCTACCTGAAGGATGAGCCCATTGTCATCGCCAACCCTGCAGCTGTGCCCACCTACACAGAGGAGAAGGAGGATCCCGCTGGCAGCTGGAACAGCCCAACCATTTCCACGGAGAAGTCCTGGTCCCGTCCCTACAACCCCTATGCCAGCCTGAGGATGCCCAACAGGGAATCGTCCAACTCCTTCTACACTGTCACTCTGGACAAGTCACCCAAGAGCCAGGAGCTGGAGGGCAGTGGGGGATGTGAGTCCTGCAGGTGCTGCTCCCGCTGTAGGAAGTGCTGCTGTGTCATCTCCTAAGGGCCCTCGTGGGACGTGCTGACCATGGGATGGGGACACGGCACCTGGCAGAGCCGGCACCCGGGAGCAGGCACTGGCTGGACTCTGCTGTTGCCTTTCACCACGAGCTCTGCAGCCAGATAGGCCTGTAATTGGCACCTGCCAGCTGCAGAGAGCCCAGTGTGGGGTGTGGGGGAGAAGGGCAGGTCCCCTCTGCCCCACTGAAGCCCAGGATCCTTAAGGGTGGTGTGTGCCCATTCAGATGCCACCAAGAAGATCCTGTAATGGGGTTGGAGCAGCACTTTGACCCTGTGAGCCCATGCACTGACTCTGCCCCTCTGCCCTTGCTGGGGAATCTCTAGCTCTGGGGACAGTGCAGGCACTGCTGGCTTGCCAGAGGATGGTTTTGGGTGATAGCAGCCCTGTGTGTGTGGCAAAGGAGGGCATTGTCATGGTCATCCTCCTTGAGGGAAGCCAGGGACATGTCTCCAGCCAGGATTGGGATCCACATCCCCAGAACTGAGGGTTCCCCCCACCCACAGCACTGTGGGGATGGGGCAGCCCCGGTGCCAAGCTCCGCTGTGTACTTCTCCCGCCTGCCACACTGCCTGTGGGACAGAGGAAAGGAGATGGGAAGGACAAAGTGTGGCAGGGTGCTGGGCAGCGGCCCCATGGCACAGCATGGCTGTGGGTGTTAACATCCCAGTGCCAGGAGAACCCTGGCCTCTTTTGGTTCCTCCTGCCAGGTGGGGGGGGGTGCCCCTTGACCTGCCCACATCCCAGCCTGAGCTCCACACTGCGTTGGGGCTGGCCCAGTGCGGAGAGCACTGGGACACCCCATTTGGGATGCAAGCCCCTATCATTAGCCTTCTGTGACTCCCTGGGCATGGAGGATGGTGGGTGAGGAGCCTCCTGGGCTCTTGCATTGCTGCTGGGGGGGCTCCAGGCTGGGTTTTGGGCTGGGGCTGGTGCCACCGACCTGGAACAAACTGGCCCTTGTGTTGGCTTGGAAGCTGCTGCAGGAGCTGCCTGGTCTGCAAGGGCTTGGAAAGAGTGCGTTAGTGATGACTTCAGGGTGAGGCAAATAAAATCACAGCCATCTTCTCCCCTGCCAAGGTTTGTGCCTCTTCCCTCCTACGCCCTGGGTTTTCCGGGATTCCCATGCTCTGTCTTGCTTATCCCGGGGTTGTGTCAGGGCAGAGCAGGAGGCACGCAGCCCTCTCCTTTCCCTTCAAACCCAGGTTTAACTGTTGCAGTGCTGACGCGGGGCAACAGCAGTGGCACGATCTCCTCAGCTCTCAGCCAGAGCCCAACGCTCCCCTCTCCCTGGCATTTCCAGTACAGCCAGCGCCTGCCTGCCCAGGGACGCTGGCTGGAGCTCAGCCTGCCCTTGCCAAGCTGGATGCTGTCCTGTCTTCTGGAAAGGAGTCTGGGTTTGGGGAGAGCTGGGGAAGGGAGGAGCTGTGGCACTGCCCGGGCTGGCTGTGACTCCCTGGGACCCCAGCACCCTTGAAATCCCACCCCCCTCAGCCTCCGGGCACGGGTGCCTGTGGCTGGGGAGCGCTGCAGGGCAGAGCCCTGACAGTTTGCCCACGCCTTGCCCTGCACAAGGAGCGCTCTTGTTCGCCCTGCCTGGCGCAGCGCCGGCGGGGGACGGGCAGATCCACCCCGTGTTTGCTTTGGTGGCCCCGCCGCCGGCCCTGCCGTGCCATGGAGCCCACCCGCGGCGCGGCTGGTCAGGGTTTGGTGTCACCACCTTGGCTTGGTTCAAACCCGCACCCGCAGAGGCTGCTCCGTGCCGCGGGGTCTGATAAACCCCGGGACAAACACGGTTTGGGAAGGAGAAGTGTCCCCGAAGGGGGTGCGGTGCCTTCAGCAGAGCCCCGGGGGGACAAGGGGTGCGGGCAGGGTGCTGGCAGGGTGCAGCATCTGCCTATGGTGCTGTGTCACTGCTGCCCTTCGCTCTGCCTAACCCTGGGGCGATGGCAAACAAGGTGGGAGAGGCTGGGCAGACACTGGGCAATGATTAAACCAGAGAAGCAGGAAGGCGGGGGGGGGGGGGTGCGGGGGTGGAGGGATGAGCAGGGGAGGGAGGGCACAGGATGCTGCTGCTCCAGACCTTGGCGGGGCTCTGGGTGACATGGGCAGGGTCCCATGGGTGCTCCGGGGTGTGTTGCATCTCTGCGGGGCGCTCGGGGGTGCGCGGGGCTGGGCTAGAGCGTTGCCACCTCCCGTGTATGGAGCATGGGAGCTGATGCGTGGCGCTGGCTCATCTCGAGCAGACCTTTGCCCTGCCCTGCGGGTGCCGCTCCCTGTCCCGCTGTGCCCAAGGTCCCTGCAGCTCTCGGGATGAGCCCTGGAGCAGGTAAACACGTTTCCCCCCCATGTGTGTCACTGCTGCCTGCAGACACCTCCCCTGTACCTGCGCTCCGGAGCGCAGCGGGCGCTGAGGGCTGGTTTCAGGCAGCGAGCCCCCTGCTGTCACCCTCCGTGATGCACAGCCCGTGTCACCAAGGGTGCAGGGCGGGTGAGCCGGGGTGCACAGCCCCACACCATGGTTTGCATGCAACAGGCAGAAGAGAGCGGCTCAACAGGACACAGCTCTGGTGCATATGGGAGGGGGACACGAGATGGGCAGGGGCTGGGCAGGGGCTGCAGGGGGGTAGGAGGACAGGCAGGGAGCCTGTGTGAGTGTGTGCACACTTCTGCAAGGAGAGACAGCCAAGGCAGTGCCAGGGGCTCTGTTGGCTCCAGCTGTGCAGGGAGCCAAACTCATTCCTCTCACCCATATAGGCTAGTACTGCCCAAAGGGGCTGACACCTCCTCCATAGCTTGCCCTGTGGCAGATGAGCAATGAGCATGCTTTGGGTGGGAGAGTGACTCTTGCCAGCTTTGGGACATGCCTGGACATCCCCAGGCACCCAGTTGCCTGCACATCATTGAGCACATGGCCCTGGAAGGAGCATGCTGCTCACCCAGGCTCCAGCACTGCTGGCACCCAGTGTGCTGCCATCCTGGTGGTACCCAGAAATGCCAGGGCAAACATGGGTCCTGACCTGGGCAGGTCACATAGCCCTTGCCCCACCTTGGCCTCTGGGTTAGGCCACAGCTGGGGTCCCTGACACAGCCACATCCCTTGCCTGCTGCCAGTGTGGTAAGGGGAGGGCAAAGCCGTGCCATCAGGTACCCTCGCCACGCCTGGGGACACATGGGACCATGTACCCTATGTGCACTGCCTGGGGAAACCTGTGACAGGGGATGGATCAGGATCCTGTCTCAGGACATGGCCACCGTGCCCACCATGGCGCTGTGCTCTTGCTCCCAAACACCAGCCCCAAGGGGTCAAGTTTTTCTGCAGAGTCCAGTGACTCCATGAGGGTCTCAGTTTCCAAACCCCCCAGTTCTTGCTGCCGAGGGGTGCTGGAAGCATGGCCTGAGAGCTGGGGTGATGTTTGCTAAGCAAGCAGCGCAGAAGAGCACTGCCTGTGTCCCTGCCTGCACTGTTGCCTGCAGCGGAAGCTGCTGCCCTCTCCTGCTCCCATGCAGAAATGCTGCCGGGTATCTGGCAGTCCTGCCCTGGCTCCAGGATGTGTTTTTCTCCTCCAGGAACTGTCCCCCTGCCACATTCCACGTTTGAAATCACCCGTGTTCAGTGCAGAAGCTGCAGCGCTGCTGCTGGACCAAGGGCAAGTCACGGGATTCATCACCCCCATGCACTGGATGAGGAGCATCACCCCACACATGGGTGCTGCCTGCCTGGACCACGCTGGAGCCTTTTCCCTGTGCCAGCCCCAGCCGCTGCACCCTGGGGTCTTGCTATGCCTCCCACCCCACCCCAGCCCGGATCACCTGGGGATGGATGAGTAGGGGATGGGGTGTCTCTGCTGGCCAGCATCTACCCAGATGTTCTTGTTCATGGTGAGTAGCCGAGGATGTGGGAGACTGTGGTGCTGCTGCCCAGGTACAGCAACGTCCAAGCCCTCTCCTCTCGTGGTGCAGCCCAGAGCTCCTTGGCCGCATGGGGATGGTTCCTTCTGCTTGTGAAGCAGAGACGGGTGGTTAATGACCCCGCCTGGGACTTGGTTTTCCGAGGCTGTGCTATCCGGATGCTCGTAACCCAATCTCCCAGATCCGATAGCATGCCTGTCCCTGAAAGGTGAGCCCCCCTTCCCACTGCCACAGCCACCAGCAGCCGCCGGGACCTGACTGGTTGCTACTGGTGTCTTGGGCTCCCAGTGCTCTCCATGGGACTGCCACAGCCCCCTGGGACAGAACAGCTCTTCTGTCACCTCCCCTGAGGCCCTGGGGGAGCATCTCAGGACAGGTAAGAATGGGGGAATTGAGTGGAGGGGTGCACCCATGGACACCAAAATGCTTGAGGTCACTCAATAGAGAGGGAGTGGGGTCTTGGTAGCCTCTGGGAGAGGTTTTCAGACATGGTGGTGGTTACCAGACCCCACCTGAGATGAGGCTGGAACCTTCAACTCCTCTGGAATGCCCATCCCATAATGTTGATAGTGGTACCATGGTCACCTGGCATGGCCTGGGGCTGGTAAGTAAGAGGGCTGTGGCACTGCCTGGTCCTCCAGACGCTGCTCTCTTGTCCATGCAGTCAAACCCACTCCTGCCCCACATTCACCTGAGCAGGCTGTTGAGGTCTTTCCAGCCCTTACTCCCTGTGGAATGGCAGAGCTGGCAGAGCTCTCAGCCAGGGATGCAGCATGGCACAAGGGTAACGCATCCATCATGGATGCAGGGAACTACATGTAGGGGATCCCTACATCCCTGCATGCAGTGGCAAGGACACAGAATTCCAGAATTGTTGGGGTTGGATGGGACCTCTGGAGATCGTCCAGTCCAATCCACTGCCAGGACAGGGCCGCCCAGAGCAGGTCACACAGGAACGTGTCCATGGTGGGTTTGGGATGTCTCCAGAGATGGAGGCTTCACAACCCCCCTTGGGCAGCCTGTCCCAATGTTCTGATGCCCTCAGCAGAAAGAACTTGTTCCTCATGTTGAGGTGAAACTTGTGTGTTAGTTTATGGCCATTGCTCCTCTTCCTTTCACTGGGCACCACTGGAAAGAGTCTGGCACCATCCTGCTGGCACCCACCTTTGAGATACTGATCTGCACTGATGGGATCTGCTCTCAGGCTGCTCTTCTCCAGACTAAACAGGCCGAGCAATCTCTCCTCATAAGAGAGATGCTCCAGACCCTTGAGCATCCTTGTGACCTTTCCCTGTAGCTCATTATCTTTCTTGTAGAGGAGCCTAGAACTGGGTCCTGCTCTTCCAGGTAGGGCTGGCCATGGGCCATGCAGGCAGCAGGCAGGGATGCGGGGGATTGAGCCTGATGCCCCTGGGAGCCCAACACATGGGGTTGGTCCCCATCTCTCCCTTACTGACTGCACATCCCATGGGACTCCTCCTTGGCTGTGAGGCTGACAGCTCCTCTCACCCTCCCATCCCCAGCATGTCCGAGGCCAGCGGCAGCCCATTGGCAGAGGATGTGGGGCCGTGTGTCAGGGTCCACTCACGCACCCCAAGCCGGGGCAGCCAGCGTGTCGAGTGCATCATCTGCTTCTCCTCCTATGACCTGGGCGTGCGGCTGCCGCGCCGCCTCTACTGCGGCCATACCTTCTGCCAGGCCTGCCTGAAGCGCCTGGATGCTGTCACCAACGAGCAGCGCTGGATCCCCTGCCCGCAGTGCCGCCAAAACACGCCTACACCGCGCGGCGGCGTTGCCATGCTCGACCTCGACCTCGCCACCTTCCTCGCTGTCAAGGCCGACAAGGAGCATCCCCAGGTGCCCGGCAGGTCCCATCCCGACCCGGCCACCAAGGGCTCATGCAAGGAGAAGGTGGTGACGCAGCAGCCAACAGGGCTGTGCCAAGATGCGGTGCCTCCAGCGCTGTTCCCCCGGCGGGGCTGCTGCCGGCCGTGCTCATGCTGTGGAGTGACGGCGGCCTTCGAGAGCTGAGCATGAGCAGGGGGCTGCTGAGGTGCAGTCTGGGACCACTGCTGGGGACCCTATTGGCCATGTGTGGACAGGAGCAGCCTGGGAAGGGCTTCAGCTCGCTTAGGGCTCGCTGCACATCCTGCCAGTGTCCGTCCTGATGGGATTTGGGGTGCAGCAGGGTGGATGATGAGGATGCCTTCACCCCCTCATCTCGCTCACCTGCTCCTCTGGCAACTCAGAAGCCTGACCCAGCCATCACAGATGGCCCCTGGTCCCTGGCCAGGGGCTTGCTCATCCATAGCTTCTCCATGCATGTAGCTCTTCAACAGGGACATCTCCACCAAGCATCACTAGGGACATAGGAGGTGACACAGGGATACTCTGGGGCCATGTTCAACGCCCTCAAAACTTCACACCCATTAAACCACACTCCATTGGCCCTGCTGGCCTGCATGTCTTGGTCTTGGTCATATTTTCTGGTAAGCCTGGGCAAGCCCTGCAATGTTGGGGTTGGGATGCTGAGCAGTGACCTACCCAGCTGATCACTATCCTGTAAGTGTTTGCTCCGTTGGCCACTTGCATGAGGAATTTGGGCATTGGGGTAGCTGGAGAGTTGAAATCGAGGATGACAGTGTTGTCAGGAGACCAAAACACGTTTCTCCAGCTCTTCAGATTTGTGCTGAGTGCTCCAGTAATGCAGAGCAGAGCCCAGAGGAGCTCCTGCTTGTTCTTGTGCTCTGTGGCACAAGCCAGGTTTAGTTTTCCCCTCTGCCCCTTTCCCACCTCTCTGCCTCACATCCAAGCAAACCCTCTGCTCCGGCCCCTTTGCTGTTTCTCCAGGCCATGCCTTTACTGCCAGCAAGGATTTCCCTGCCTGACCCCAAACAGAGGGTTCAAGGACAAGACCCCAAACATCTGGGTGTGTGTTTAACAGAGGCCAGATGTGGAGGACTGGGATCCACCAGGGTGATACCAAAACAGTTCTTGGGCAGGGCTTGGCATTACCTGGGCAGCTCTTGTGGTCCTTCCACAGAGCCCATTTCCTGCATCCATTTTCCATGTGGTTTATGAGCTCTTCCAACATCCCAGCACCAGGCACCATGGGTGTCCCTCGGGGCTCATTAGGGGACCCCAGCCTGAGCTCCCTGGGGTCGCAGTGATCCTGTGTCCCCTGGGCTGTCCTGGTGCTTGGCAGTCCCCTGCCCTGGGTGCCTGGGCTGCAGCCAGAGGAGTCCAGCACCCACACCCTGTGCAGCATCCCCTGCACGGCACCCACACGTGCACAGCACCCACCCTGTGCGCAGCACCCATACCCAGCACAGCACTCACCCCGTGTCCAACACCCATGCACTGTTCTACCACTTGGTGTCACCTGCCATAAGGAGTCCGAGCTGAGTTGTTCCCAGCAAAGCCCAACCTGGGCAGCTCCAGCCACGGGTGCAGGAGCACCAGGGATGTCCCAGGCCAGGACAGCAGATGTGTGATGTGGTTCGAACCTGCCTCGGGTCTTTGATCACATGGAAACATGCAATAAACTAAAGTTTTTAAGGACAGGAGAAGAGCTAACACAGAGTCTTAGCATCTTGCTCTCTATCTCAATTTCTCCCCAGATACTCAATGGTGGAGGTTGGGAACAGTGTGGGAAGTGTTCTCTTCATCAAGTGATGCCCCTGCATCACTTCACTGTGGGAACAGTCTTGGCACCGTGGTTTACACCCCTTGGCTGGAGCAGGGCTGCTGTTGAGCCTCCTCCATCAGTCAGCACAGGCCACCCGGGCTGCCCCTGCAGCGTGGGTGCTCAGAGCAGCCTCCCCTGGAGGTGCCTGGGGGCCAGGCTGCACCATTCCCTGTGGAACCCTAAACCCCAGTGGGGAGCAGGGCACCAGTGGGTGCAGCCCTGGCTGGGGACAGGGAGCTGGGCTCTCCCTGCAGGTGCTGGGTCCAGAGGATGAGGCACTGATGAGCACTGGCAGCAAGTGTGAAGGGACAGTGTCACTGCTGGGGGCAGAACCCCAAGGTGTCACCAGCCTGCAGCTGCTGCAGCCAATGCCTGCATTGCACAGACAGCACCAGCCCTGCACTTGCTGGTGTCCCTGCATGTAGGACATTGGGGACATCTCTCTTGCTATGTACCATGGAGTACGCAGTGGGGTGACGGTGAGGGGCTGAGCTGGGTTTGCAGCTCCTGGGGTCTCTGAGCATCAATACTCTTTATTTAATAGTGTTCAGGTTTGGCTTTTTCTTCCCCCACCATGAATTTCGCCCATCCCTCCTGATCCTAGGTGGCCACAGGCAATGCATCCCCTGGGGAGGAAGAGCATTTGGCGACAGGGATCCCTAAAAATTCCTGTCCCCATATAGCCCACCACTACGGGATGAGCTGGTGCTGCAGGTCCATGTGGCTGCAGGTCTGTGCCCTGCTCCAGGGCTGGGCTGGGCTGTAGGATTCCTCTGAATTACTTCCAGATGGGGATTAATGCAGTAAAACCGAGTTTGCTGCAGGATAGATAAACAACCCAAAGCTCCTCTGGATGCTATTAATAAACCTGCCTGCCTGCTGCTTCTGGCTCAGATTTGGGAACACCCTGTGCACTGCCTTGCCGCCCTCCCAGCCCTTTGGCCATGATGACCCAGTATGAGGGTGCTAAACAGGACAGGAGCTGCCACGGTGTGTGTAGAGGATGATGTCCCCTCTTTGGGCTGCCAGTGGGATGAGGTGCTCCTGGTTGTGTCCCGGGTGTCCACCAGGTTCTGCCAGGGACACCAAGAGGTGACACCTCTCCTCTCCTCTCCTCTCCTCTCCTCTCCTCTCCTCTCCTCTCCTCTCCTCTCCTCTCCTCTCCTCTCCTCTCCTCTCCTCTCCTCTCCTCTCCTCTCCTCTCCTCTCCTCTCCTCTCCTCTCCTCTCCTCTCCTCTCCTCTCCTCCCTTCTGCTGTGGGGCTTCGGCACCTTGAAACCAGAGTGGGTATAAACAGGGTGGGGGCAGACTTTGAGCCCTCTCGAGCTGGTGCTGCCCTGCCAGGGCCAGGGTAAACAAGTTTTGGGTGGCTGCAGCCCAGTGGGTTCACCTTTCTCACAGCTTCTAATGTAGGGGCTCCTGGGTGTCCCCAGTGCGCACCCAGGTGTGTGGTCCTGCTGGGGAGGAGGAGGGCTGCCCATGGGACCCTCATCCCAGCCCTCCTCGTTCTGGCATGGCTTGTGCTCTTCTGCTAAGGGCAAACAGAGCCTGGCCAAGGGCTGGGCTCAGTGGGGTGGCCCATGGCTGCCAGCAGCACTCCCCACTGAGGACCTCTGGGCATGGTGAGCCAGCACAGAAGATAGGGTTACATCTGATGATGGTACAACTTAAGCCCTATCCCACTCTAGCTAGTTATAGGGGTCCTGGGTCCATACACCCCTCTGTACATGGCTAATGAAGCTCTTCCCTGTGAGGGTGCTGAGGCGCTGGCACAGGGTGCCCAGAGAAGCTGTGGCTGCCCCATCCCTGCCAGTGTTCAAGGCCAGGTTGGCCTGGGCTTGAAGTAGCCTGGGACGTTGCTGATGGTGAGGTGTGGAAGGTGCCCCTGCCTGTGGCAGGGAGTTCAAACTGGATGAACTGTAAGCTCCCTTCCAACCCAAACAATTCTCCAATCCTATGATGAGGCAGCACACCCATGGGGAGAACGGAGGCCAAGAGATGAGTCTGGTTTTACTTCTTTCCAGCTCTCCAGCCTGCAGCACACACAAGCAGTTAATCCCGGGCCATGGTGAGCTGGATGCTTACCTGTCTGGAGCGGTGCCTGGCAGAGGGAGGGACGAGGCTCGGCCCAGCACCTTGCCAGGGCAGCATCACAGCGGAAATATTTGCTGAGAAAAGTTCAGCTCCACCCTGAGGCAAAACCGGGGCTGGGAGCGCAGCGGCTCCGGGGCTGCTCATCCACCGCTACTGGGAGCGGAGCGGCTCCGGGGCTGGGAGCGCAGCGGCTCCGGGGCTGGGAGCGCAGCGGCTCCGGGGCTGCTCATCCCCCGCTCCTGGGAGCGCAGCGGCTCCGGGGCTGCTCATCCACCTGCTCCCAGCACTGCCCGGCACCTCCAGCCCGCACCTCCGGGAGCGCTGAGTGGCTGGACGGGCACCAAGGATCGTGCCCGTGGGGGAGCCCCGGTTCTGGAGGTCCGGGAGCTCCCGTCGCTCTATGCTCAGCCATGGGGTGCTGGTGGGGCCGCGGAGCGGTGCTGGCCTGCCTGCTGCTGCTGCTGCGCCCGCTGCCCTCGCCCTGCTGCCCCGCCGCCTGCCGCTGCTCCGTGGGGAACGTGGACTGCAGCGAGCACGGGCTCCGCGAGGTGCCCCCGAGCCTGGCCACCAACACCAGCACCCTGTGGCTCGGCTACAACTTCATCACCGTGCTGGGGCCGCGCTCCTTCCCGCCGCTGCCGGGGCTGCGGGTGCTCAGCCTGCCCCACAACCATCTGGGGCTCATCCACAGCCAGGCGCTGGTGGGGCTCGGGGCACTGCAGGAGCTGGATCTCAGTGACAACTACCTGACCACGCTGAGCCCCGAAGCCTTCCTGCCCCTCACCAACCTCACCAAGCTGAACCTGGGTGGAAACAGGCTGAGGCAGCTGGAGCCTGGGGTGCTGCAAGCGCTGCCCCAGCTCCAAGCCCTCTTCCTGCAGGACAACCCCTGGGGCTGCAGCTGCAGTATCCTGCCCCTCTGGCGCTGGCTCAGCCACAACAGGGACAAAGTGCGAGGTGAGTGCTCAAGGACCGTGACCCTAAGCCCCCCACCCGCTCCATGCTTGCTGGTCACCCCGTCAGGGCTGAGGCTGCACCCAGCACCCTGGTGCCAGCAGCTGTGGGCTTGCAGTGGTGGGTGTCCATGGCGGTATGGGGAGGCTAGCCAGATCCCACCCTCAGGCCATGGCAGCTCCTGTGTCTGCTTGGGTGTCTGCACCCCTGGTCTGGTACCTGGTGCCCACCTTGTGCCTGTCCTTGTGCCTGGAGGAGAGGGCTGGACAATGTCCCAGTGACGTGAACCCAGCACTGTCCCCAGCAGTGGCACCAGCCCCATCACACTGAGGGCAAGGTGTGCTCGCAGTGGGCACCACTGCTGATGCAGCTAGGACTCAGTGCCTTCAACCCCTTCCTCAGTGCTTTCATGAATGGACATGGGGCTGATCCTGCATTTCTTCCCCCATGAACCTTGGTCAGAGTCACCTCTGCTAGCAAGATCTCTCTTTCTGCTGCCACTGTTCTTGCTTGCTTCCAGCTTGGATGCGTGCCCGTCACTTGTGCTGGCTGGGATCTTCTGTGGCCTCTCCGTGCTGGGTGCTCACCGCTCCCCACGTGTCCTCTTGGAACCAGGCCTGCACCCTCCCTGCCCCATCTACCATCTGCTCCAAAACTATTTTCCAGGGCCCCTTCCAGCACTGTTCCCACCTCCCCATCTCATCCTACTCCCCACTGCACAGGACATAGATGAGCCCTGAACCTTCACTGCTCTCCTTTGTATCCCACCCTGGACAATCCTTATCAACCTAACCCCTGTCCTCCTGCCCTGGTCCCATAAAAACCTGCCATCCCCTCTGTCCATGACACCTGCCTTGGCCCAGTGGCCCAGTGTGCCCATCGACACTGATTTTCTCTTCCAGAGAAGAGCTTGCTCCTCTGCAGAGTCCCAGAGCAGCTGAACAAGTATCCGATCATGGCCTTTGGGAATGAGTCCTTCAGGCAATGTCAGGAGACCTCACTGTCTGCCCAGCACTACATCACCTTCATGATCATTGGACCGTTCTCTTTCATGGCCAGCATCTTCTTCTGCACCTTCACAGGCTCCGTCGTGGTGGTTTACCACAACCTGCGCAAGGAACCCCATGTCTCCAGGAGATCCTGCATCTGAGGGGTCCCCCCAGATGATGCTGAGCTCCGTCTGCCCCACTGCTGGGGGAGCAGCCTCCAGCTCTGAGCGAGGATGCTCACAGTGTTTTGGAAGGCCACCCTCAGACTGGGGATGGGTACAGGGGATCCTTCTCCACCTCACCCTGTCCTGCCCCTTCCGCTGCCCAGGGGCCTCAATGTGCATTTCAGGATGCACCATATGCCTCCCTGTGCCTTTTGGTGCATCCCAGGAACCCCTGTGTGCATCTCAGGACACACCATACACCTCTGGGTACTTTTCAGTGCACCCCAGAGTTTCCATTTACCTTTCATTGCAGGTCAGGAGCCTCTGTGTGCCTTTTGGTTTGCCTCAAAACCCTCATTGAGCCTTCTGGTGCCCCAACACTCCCCATATGCCACTCAGTGCCACCAGCCTCAGTGTGCCTTTGCTTGCCAAAACCGCTTGGCTTGACGTTTTGTGCATTCAAATGCTCTCCAATTGGCTTTCTGTGCCCTGACAGGCACTGGTTTATCTGTTGGTGTGCCCCAGAGCTCTCTGTGCCTTTCGGTGCACTTGAAGATCTCTGGGTGTTTTGGGGCTCTCCAGAGCCTCCATGGGACTGTCAGAAAGCCCCACCCCCATGTGCTGCCCAAGGGCAGGGCAGGTTGCAAAATGCTTCCTTTGAAGGATTCTTTCCTTGAGAACTCTCAGCCAGGAGCCAAGATCTAGGGGGAGGCTGAGGTTTGGGGTGAGGGTTGGACAGAGACAAACACTTGAGCTCCCACTGATGTGGCTTGGCAAAGGGGTTGCCAAAGGATGGATGAAGCTGCACAGTGGTTCCCCCCCAGTAGCTTTTCCCCTGGACTAAAGCTCATCCAAGGCCAGGGTCCAGGTCAGCTCAGTGACGGGAGTGGGGACAAAAATGTGGGTTCACAGCCTTTGCTGGTGCCTCACATCCCACCACCCACAAAAGGGACTGGGGTTGCCCCTGTGTCTCCCTGCCCTGCTGCCTCCTGCCTTTCCCTGTGGAAACTCTTCTCCATGGCATGGCATGGAAATGCTTAGTGAGTGCTCCACAGGAACGCACAAGCTGGGGTGACAAAAGCATCTCTCAGGGAGGAGCAACAGCCCTTTGTGGCATGAGTCCTTACCCACTGCAAGGCAATAAGAGCCACAATGAGATGACTATGGCCACCAGCTTCCTCTGTTTGCTCCATCTCTTGCCCATGCAAGAGCTGCCAGGGATGTGGTGGGGGTCAATGAATGCTTTGGTGAGTCCTTGCCAAGGGTTAAATAAATCATGCAGTGAATAAACCAAATGTCACCCCACCTGTGGCTAGCTCCCATTTCTATTTGCAAGAGAGAAACCATCCCAGCGTGCTGCCACACTGCTCGAGTCCCCCTTGGCTCAGCCTATGAGGGCCCTGGGGAGCTGGTGAAAGCCACATCTCCTCTGGGGTGGCTACAGGACCTCTGCCAGGACCAGCCCCTTGCACAGAGCCTTTCCCAGGAGCAATCCCAGCTCTCTCAGATCCTCTCTAGTGAAGCACTCATCCTTCCTCAGGAGGTCTTGGCTTCCGATTTGGAGCTAGGGCTTATTGTCCTTCATGGTCGGGCTGGTGGTCTCAGCACATGGGGAGGAGCTGGGGATCACAGCAGTGGCAGGGGATTGCCACTGTTTTCCCCTTGATGGAGGTGGGTGAGAGCCAGGGGGCTTCAGAGTGTCCTCGGCCCCCACAGCAAGGCCTGTGTCCCGTCCCCCCTCACAACACGCTGTTCATCAGCCTGGCATCTGGGAATGGTGATGCCCCTTCCCTCCTGTTTTCTCTGCAGCCCCTGGCCTTTCTCCCTGCTGGCTTCATCCCTCCCCATCCATCCACCCTTTGCTGTTTGCAAACCCTGCGGCAGCACTGGGTGAGGCTCTGATTCAGCACAGGGCTCCCTGCCAGCTTTGCCACAAGACAGACACGGAAAGAGGGACACGGCACTGGAATAAACAGCATCATGATCCAGTCTAGACTTTACTGAGCTCTTGCAAAAACTTGGTATTAATGTTACATTAACGTAGAAAGTAGAATGGGTCCAATGGCTCAGCTGGAGCGAGATGAACTTGATGGAGCCACTGCAGTGAGTGGGACGATGCTCACAGACCTCAGCTGCCATCTGAAAATCCTGCCTGCCCTCGGGAGAGCCCCTTCTGCTCGGCTGGTGCCAGGAGAAGGCAGTTCATGCCACTGGGGCTTGGTACCGTGTTGCAGGTGGGTTTTCCTCCTTCTCAGGAGGCGGGATGCGGTGCTGCCCGTGCACGTGCTGTAGCTGCTCATCACCAGCCTGGCTGGTGCCAGATACTTCTGCTACGCTGGTATCTCCGGACCCACTCACAGAGCCCACAGAGAGGGTGCTCAGGGATGCTGGCATATGGGCACGATGCTTGAGGGGAGGAAGGTGTGGGGAGGAACAGCATCAGCCGGTCTTGTTTGGTTCTCGTCTGAACTGGGCTCTGGCTTCCACATCTCCAGGTTCAGGCAGATGCAGCCACATGAGCTGGGGCTTCAGGGCTGCTGCAGGAGCCGCTGGCAAGCTTGAGCTGCAGGCAAGTGTGGCAGGGAAGCTGCCAGTGACTGCTGTGGTGACCGACACTGCGAGCCGTGACCGGCCAGCAACATCTCTCCTTGCATTGCTGGTGCTGAGGCAGTGTGGAGTTTGGCTGAAGGTCACTGCAACCATCCAGGGCTGACCCCTGAGATGTTCATGGCAGGGAGAGCCACAGTGTGAGAGCTACATGAAGGCCATGGCCAGGTCCTGGGGATGTCTTCTGTGCAGGAAGACCGGGGAGCCAGAACCTTGGCTGACAGCATGTTACAAGCTCCAGAGTACCGTGTTTAGCACAGGAGCTTGGGCTGCAGGGCTGGGATCACTCTTGCTTGCAAACAGATCACGTACAGGAGCCAAGTCATAGCCATGGGCTGATGGAAGGGAGGAGCAGGGGGTTCATCCCATGTGAGAAGCACAGCATGCATCTTCCAGCCCCTGCTGCAGAGGGGGGTCACTCAGCACAGCAGGAGCACATGCCCAACCTGCTGCTCCCCTGCTCGGGATCACGAGCACGTCGGTCTGGAGCCCTCCAGGGTGATGGGAGACATGGAGCACACGTCTGAGGGCCCATGTGTGTGTGCTGGGCAGCCTTCATGAAGCCTGCAAAGTGGAGCACATGTTCGTAGCTGGCACCAGCTCTTCCCTACTACCATGGCAGAGCAGGCACCAGGCGCCTTTCCCCTTGCTCGTAGCTGTTCAGTGGCAATACTGATTATCAACAACACTGGTTGGAAGCGATTATCTCTGAAAAGTGGAGTCCAAACCATGTCCTGGTTCTGCCGTGCATTCTGGGGCACGAGCATGGCAGCAGGCCTAGGAAGGGTGGGAGATATACAATGAAATCACTGTGTATGGATGAAGGATGCTTTCCTCCCATCTCACCCAGAAGAACCCATCAGTGTCCCTTTTGAAAGGCAGTCCTGGCTGTGCCTTCCTACTGTGTTGGGGCAAGGACTGATGGCCCTCGGGGAGAAGGTCACACCACAGTGCTGACTGAGGGGTCGGAGAGGTTGAGCTGGCCGGTGATGTCGGTGGGGTGATATTGCTGCAACACACAAAGACACAGACAAGGAGAAAGAAGTGTTAGGCAGTTCTGGCACTTGCCGCAACCTCTACTTACATCCCATGTGTCCCTACGGGATATCACTTGGGGGCAATGCAACGGCCCAAACCCCACTGCCTGCTGAGGTCCCCTTCCCAGTGCAATCCAAGCTTGTGCAGAGGTCGTTGCAGACACTCTCCAAGCACCCCATGGCCGGGCAGGGAGGACGCCCAGGAGCGCAGTGCAGCTCCCACAGTAACAGCGCTTCTCTGCTGAGCGAGCCCCTTGCTGCGCTGGGAGAGCTTCAAGACAAAGCCTGTGACTCACCAGCCCAGCCCACGCCTGAACCTGTGTTTGGAGGGTCTGGCTGGGGTTTGACATCATTGTGGTGCCAGATCAAGCTGTGCTTTGAGGCCAGGCCATTTCACCTCCTTGCTCGAGTGCCTCTGCTTTGACTGTCCTTTCACACAGGTGAGATGTGTGGTGTGGGTGACTCTTGACAAACTGTGGTGTCAATTGCTAATGTGACGATATAGCCTGTGTTGGGGATGTGGCTTGGATTTGGGGTTCTGCACTCTTTGTGGGTGGGGGGTTGGCAAATGCTCCCTGGGAGAAATGTCCCCAGCTGCAGTCCCACCAGCAAGCAAAGAATGAGAGCAGCAACGCCCTTCAGTGGGCAAGAGAAAGAGGAGTCCTTCTTCTCCAGGCAGGGCTTTACAACTGGGTAGTTACTTTCTCCCTTTCTCCTTCCATACTCCCTTCCTTTCCCTGTTCCATTCTCCAAACCCTGAACTGGAAGAAGCTCTGTCCAGGCCTGCTGTGGGCGGGTGGCACTGAACACCTTATGCTGCTGTCTGGGGACCTCAATGGGTGTCAGGACAGGAAAAGGGTCTCAGTGGGTCTCCAGTGCTGCAGTGTAGACCTTCTCCAGTGACATCTGCTACCACACTACTTAGGAGAGCTGCCGTTCTGCTGGGCTCTGTGGGCTCTTCAGTGATGGGGTTTCACCCATTTTGCAATGGTTAATGGTGGCTGTGGCCCCTGCGGTGCTGCTGGTGGCTCTGGCCCTGTGGCTACCCTGTGTAGCTCTGCACCTCGACTCCTGCCACGGGAGCTCTGGGTCCCCATAGGTGTTACATGGGGTCCTTGGGGCTGCCCTGCTCTGCCCAGTTTTGTGCTTCACCAGGACGCCTTGGTGGGGAGATGCTGGTGCAGGAGTGTGAGCCAGCATGCTCCTATCTCTCCAGTTCATGTGCTGGGACACCCAGGGAGCATCTCACAGGATCATTCTATCACTGAAGGCACTAGGTAATATTGAAACAGAGATGCTCCTTGCTGTGGCTTTGCCTTGCTAAGGGGCAACACCTTGGCTGTCACCCGTTGGCACAGAGAACGGTTGAGGAGAACCTGAAGTCGCTCTGCCGCCCTGAGGGAGCTTTTTGGGGTTATTCATCAGCCACCAAAAAAACGCCCCTTTCACCCCAAAATGGGCATGGCTGCCCCCACCTTGTGAAAAACAAGGGTTCCACCTAAACGCAATCTTTCCTTTTCCATGGCAAAATGGCTGGAGGCGTGTGCTCACGGGATGGGGCTCGATTCCCGCAGGGAGGAGAGGCGACTGGGAAAGGGGAGAGGCTGGTGACTCACTGCTGGAGAAGAAGGAGGAACTCGAGGTACAAAAAGGAACAGGCTGAAGAAAGCTCCTTTGTTCAGTGCCCTGCCTGATGCAAGCAGGGGGGGAGCGGTGTGTGCATGCGGGTGTGCGTGTGCCTCGGTGCGCTGTACGTGTGAGGTGTAGCAGGGCAGGTTGGGGCGTTCTGGCCTCTCTGCACAGCTCTGGGGGTGGGAAATGCTAAAATGACCAAGCCAAGTGGGGAATCTAGCCAGAAAAATTAATATACAAGAGCATGGCTTTTGATTTGAAAGCATATCTCCTCCAATCACAGAGTTATCACAGGGTAACATTCTCATTTACTTTTTTTTTCTTGTGTAGAGTTCATGCATGCAATTTTTAATAATAAAAACTAAAAATAAAAATAGAAAGGAAAAGAAAATGAAAAAAAAAGCAAGAAAACTGTCATATCAAAACTATGTTAAAGTAGAACTAATGCTAGAAGCACATATTAGTAATTTAGGGTAAATTATGTTACAGGGATGGTGCAATTATCCCCAAACCAAACATTATAAAGCGAAGAAATTAATCAATATTAACCGTAGAAGAGACTCAAACATGTTAAGGTATGGAAGTGAAGTGAAGGCACCAAAAACTTTAAATGACAACCAGGAAGAAAATATAGACAAGAACTTAATATGTCTTTAAAAATGACTTCAACCTAATCTGGGCTTATATGGTAGTCCCTGGCTGGTGGAAGATTTTCTGGAAGAATTTTGGAGTTTGGAGTTGTTTGGTTGGTTTTTTTTCAATTAAAAATTAGAATTCCAGCTAAATGCAATCTTGCTGTAGAAAACATCAACTTTCTTCATAAAAAAAAAAAAAGAATAAATTAGTTGTCTTTGACCTACTTTTGGTTCTTTTAGGCCCAAAACTAGGTTGTTTTTCAGCCAAGAAGCGTTTGGCTTTGGGATGGCTGATCCTTCACTGAAAAGGTGACCTTTGTTTCCATGAACCCCCTCGGTTCTCGACCAGCTCTGGCACCATCCCCATGGCAGCACCGGGCCCTC